ATGTGTTCTGTTAGACAGTCAGGAAATTGCATAATCTAATGTTTGTCTAGTCTTATCATTTCGGAACTATCAGATTGCTACCTCTTTCATTTACTTACATCGGAACAATTCTTATTCGGAGGACCCACCCTTGTCAGTCTGCCTTTGTCTCACTCTGGGAATATGATAACTGGTCTACACGAACTTGTACTCAAGGCTTGATTTCTGGTGCCTCCCACCAGTGCAAGCTTGGACAAGTCACTTAATCCCACTACACTTCAACGTTCCTATCTACAAAATGGAAACGATCAATAGCATCGAATCATAGTGCTATTGCACTGATGAAATTGAGAATGTGCAGCACGGTGCATAGCACGTGCGTGGTAGGTGCTCAGTAGATGCTGGCTATGCTTTTATTATGGGAAGTTAGTGACACAGCATTTCCTGGATGAAATCAGCTTCCTGCTAAGAATAAAAACTGCATAGGGAGCTCTTAACCTTGAATGTTAATTATCTTCAAGTTTGTTGGCTGAAGGTCCTGGTGATACAAACTGATCATTTTCCAAGAAACAGCAGTTTCAGCTCATTTGTGTTTCGAGCATGTCTGGCTTTGGATCTTCTTCATTCACTGTAATGGTTAACTTAACATTTTGCCTCAGTTAACCTCGATGATGAGTACAGCGTGACCTTTACTTAATTGTTGATGCTTCTGTGACAACAAGACATTCTGTAACTCACCCATCCACCGTTAGGACTTGATCCTAAACTCCCTTCTGGAATTAGGTCGATGTGGCTCTGTGTGGTGGCTTTGGCTACAGTTGTTACTCACATGCTCTAGCTGGTCAAAGCTTTATTTGTGATATCAGTTCTGAACACTTCCATGCCTTTTCTCCACTCTTTGGCCTGGCACACCATATTGACAGTTTCTGCCACTTTCTTATCACCTTCCTATCTGCCTTTCAGCTCTTCTTCCCCTAACTTTAAGGACTGGAATACCCCTAAACAAATATATATAATGAAGTGATCTATCTGTAAGAGGAATTTACCATCATCAGCGAATGTTATCTTGAACCCCTGAATATTATTTGCTATTGTAAGTTTATGCTGAAACTTACTAGATATTGTAATTTTCATTCCTAATCAGGAAATAGTTAACACCTACAATGTGCCAGGTATGGTGTGGACTTCAGACCCCATTAGGAAGATCTACATATATGAGCACGTTCTGTATGAGATTTTCATATTTCTTTCTTTTTTTTTTTTTTAGAATACAATGGCTCTAGTAGGGTTTTTAAAGAAGGTAATAGAAAGACTTCAGTTGTAGGAAGACTTTTAGAAGACTGCTTTTTTTCTTTAAAAACTTTTTAATGACTGTATATTTCCCCATGTAAATATTCAATATTGTAATTTATTTTACTATTCCCTTATTGTTGTCTACTTAGGTTATTTACAATGTCTCTCCCAAACCTTGTATTTGGAAAAATTTTGGACCTGAGGAAAAATTCTAAGAACAATACAGTTGACACCCATGTCTAGGTTACTTTGCTATGTTTGCTTTTTATCGATTCCCCCTTCCATCCGTCCTTATCCCTACGTCCCTCCCTCTGTATTTACACCTTTTTGGCTCTTAGATATTATCTTAGTAATGCAGCACCACAGATAGAGGGCGGGAGTGGCAGGTAGGGCGGCTGGGTGAAAACTGGAGAATGACCTGGAAGTCTGCAGGCAGAAGGGTTACCCTCCACCCTGACCATCAGAACATTCCTAGGCAGGCAGTTACCCCTAGGCAAAGTAAAGGGTGAAAGGGGAGCTCTTCTCTAAAGGCATCCAATGAGCTGTTGAAGAACAATAAGGGAAGCTGGAGTGCTGTTAGGACCTCACCAAAAAGCACTCTGCAGTCAGGTGTTTGGGTGCTCACTTAGTCCTTAGGCTGCCTCACTTGCAAAGCTGACTGAACAAGCAGGGATCGACGTGAGAAAGAGATACTAAGGTAAATAAACAGCAAAAAAAAAAAAAAGATCCCGAAGGAAACAAATTCAGGTAGTAGAAGTGTGCTTTAAAATATAATTTATAATTTGAGAAGTAAATCATCTTCTACACCTCCTCCTAAACATCTTCCAAAGATGGCTGTCACAGTGCTTTTCTACAGTGTGTCCTTGCCAGCCCATCAAGGGGAGGGGATTCTGATCGCCTCCCGCTGGAATCTGGGCAGGCTATGGCTGCTTAGGCCAACTGAGTATGGCAGGAGGGGGCTCGCTGTGTGACTTCTGCAGCTGGGTCATAAAAGGCCATGCAGCCTCTGCCTTGTTTACTGGGCATAAAGGGATCTATGACGCCTGCGGCCACCATGCTGTGAAGAAGCATGCAGAGACTCCACCTGATGATGCTCTAGTAGGCAATCCCAGTCGGCAAGTGATCGGCACAAGGATCAGACTTGTGGGCGGGAACCTTGGGATACTTGTAGCCCTCCTTGGTCTAGTCAGTCCCCAACATTTAAGGTTTCCCAGCCAAGGTCCCAGACCAGCCATCCCTCCTTCGTCCTGTCTGAATTCCTGGCCCATAGAATCTGTGACCATAATAAAGTAGGCACTAGGCTCAAAGAAGTAGTGAGAGAGCTGGGTGTTGTTGGGGGCATTGAATTTGATAGGGAATGAGGTATGTGTGAAATCCCCAGTCTTTAGCTCTTTGGTTCTGAGTTTCTGACTCACTGTTAGTAATAACCCAAACATGGACAGGCCTAGAGTGGAGGCAGCCTCAAGCTTGGTAGACCCCAAACCTGCTACCTGTTTTGATCCTTTTAAATTCAGGAATAAGTTTTCCCAAACAAAGGAAAACTGTTAAACTTCCTAGGCAGTGAAATAGTATTTCTGGACATGGAGTAAAACAAACATTTCAACAGTATAAGTGAAGCTTTAAAAAAGGGGGATTCTTTTGAAGGATTTTGACAATCACTTGATAGCTCTCCATTCACATTTCTCATTGTTTCTTTTGAAGGACTATTCAATTAGTCATTGTTTATAGCCCTGGGAAGTTCAAGAATAATCTTATCCTAAAATTTGATGTTTTCAAAAGATTTAAATCTTATAAATACAACTGAAGAAAAATCAAAGAACTGCCCCTGAAATATTATTTTCTCAGTTAAATTTAACCAATTTTAACACAGTTAATGATGATAAATACATTGTAAAACTGAAACATTTAATTGACAATATTTAGCAAAAGCGGCCTTATCAGGATGAGCTGATCATTTTGTTGGGTTTTGGTGCCTTGCCAGTCATTTTTCCATTTACTGCCCTCCTTTTTGCTCCCCGATTCCCTTACTACCTCTCCCAAACCCTCCCCCACCAAGTGTAAAGCTGAAAGATGTGGACAAAGATAACCTTCAAGTAATCCAGACAGGAGACTGCATTTTAGGGAGCACATGCTCAGCCCTCTGCTTTAATTATAAGATATATTATCAGGTCACTTCATTAATGGAATAAATAATTATTTTTTCTGCTTCCTGTAAATTAGTTGAAAAGAGGATTAGAGATTCACCAGAAGTAGGGGCCACTATGGAAACCAGGTATAAAGAATAAGTCAAAGCTCCTGCTCTCAGAAGGCTAGACAAAGGCTCCTTTCTTATGAGTGACCATCGCTGAGAGAGCTCCCCATGTTAAATCAGAGTCATTTATGGGGGGAAGAAGTCATTCATGTTTCTGTGTCTACTCATCCTGTGTCTTGGTGAATTGGAAAGCTATTTGGAACCTTAGAAACAAAGCCAATCATACCTTTTGCAAATATAGTAATTGTCTCCATCTTCTCAGTGAAAGGGCAAAGTATGAAAAGCTAACAGAAAACAGAGGAGAATTAAAGGGTCATCAAAAGAGGAAGAGAAACTGAAGAAATATACATAAGTGTATTTAAGCTAATGACTCATTTGCATTCATGAAGTCAGTTTTCCATGCCTGTCACATTTTCTCGACTGATACTAGGGAAAAATTTAATTGGTAAATTTGAATAAGATGAAGTAGATGGAGAAATGCAGAATAAAAATAGAAAATCAAAATTAAGGAATGTGGAAAAGCCAAGTAAGTGGGGAAAAAATGAAGTCAAATAACTGGGAAGAATAATTGGAAAAAACTCAATATGCCAGAAGCCTTAGAAAAACAGAACTCTTTTGAGAGGGCATTCAGTTAAAACCAAAAATTTCTTTTTGGTAAGTTAACTAAAAAGAAAGATTGTTGGAACCCTTTGATTTAAACTGAGTATTTAACATTAATACATAGGATAAAATGCTTTCAACTTATATGAGAAAAACCGCAGAAAGGTTTAAAAGAATCAGACATTTCATATTTATTTTTAGGTTCACTAATTAACTAAAAAAGACTTATCCCCCTGCTTAAGCTGATGTATAATTAAGGTACCCGAGTACAAAGAATTCGTCTCTAAAGCTAAATTAGAATGTGGGAGGCAGAACCTGAGATTTTGCAGGTACTTTTTTCTTTTTTTAAAAATACAAACTTCTGAAAGTATTATCTGTTCTTCCAGTAAATCACTGAGAAGTTACCATAGGGGATATAGAGACAAATAAAGTTTCTTTCAACACTACTTTATAAAAGGCTGAGAATCCAAGAAAGCTCAAATAAATGCTTCCTGGAATTTGGTTATTTCAAGCCATGCCTGGTGGCTGATTGCAGTTAGTGCAGAGTTGACCAATGTAAGCATCAAGGCCTTTTATTTTAAAATAAGTAAAAGTGGATGGTGGGGACACAGAACCTACTTTAATCCTTTTTTAATTATGTAGAATCATCAAATGAGCGCAGGAGCCGGCGCTGAACCGGAATGCAGTCAGCCTCTCAGGGCTTAGCGAGTATCAGGCTGTTTGATCTGGCACCCCAGGGCCTCGGGCTGTTCTGCTTTATCACCATCAGGCATCATTAGTGGTTGTGTTTAATGAGCCCCCTCTTCTAAATGTTAAGAATCTGTTAATGTTAAATGTTAAGCACTTTTTAACCCTCGCTGCCATCTCTCCAAAATAGGTCCTGTCCTGATTTTATAGATGGCTCCACCCCTCCTTGGATGCATGATGACACTTGCCTGCATCCACGAAGCTTACGGGTGCTCGGGACAGGATTCAAACCCTCGTCCAACTCTGGCACCTGATCTTGGAATTACTGTTCAACAGGCCTGCAGTCTTTTATCTGAATTCTGAAGTCCACAAAGCTTGAAACATTGAAGTTCTTTTTTTTCATACCTTCGCTGCCAAAACTCAGTCCGTGGCAAAACCTGGCCTGAACTGATTTGGGGCCGTAGTCTTTCCCTGCTGGGTGTCATCATTCACAGAATGCACTGCAGCCGTATTGTGTCTCTGTAATAGACTGTGTTGCACAGTGGGTATATGTACTCCTTTTGACCTTCCTAAAATCTGGACACTTTTAAATTCTGAAGCCATCTAGCCCTGTGGGTTTTCAGAACAGATGGGTACTTGAGCATCCCTTGCCACCTGGCCCCTGCCAGCCCGCTGTCATTTCTCATGACCCTCCTTCACCGCAGGCCCCTCACATCCCCCTCCCCATGCTGCTAAGTTGCTGCTCCTCTTACGCTGTGGATGTGGAAGTTTAAGCACATCAACTTTCACTACCCCAAAAACCAAGATAATTTGTTAAAATCCTGAGTACTGATATCCCGTTCCAAGTCAGCACCACGGGGTTCTTCCTTCTTCCCCACTCCCTGACTTCCTTCTCCTCCGGGGAGAACTTCAACATTTCTTTTGTGCTTTTTAAAAAATGTCCTTTCTATTTAACCAGGATTCAAAATATTTCTCCTGGTATGTGCAGATGGAGTTTCACATTTTAACTTAGATAATAGAGCCTTCATTTTATAATGGGGTTCACTCTGAGTTGTTTTTAAATAATAGCATTTTTAGTGCATTTAAATGATTTAGCCATAAAAATTTTATGCAGAATATTTTGGGAATGATAGATGTATCACCTAAAGCAGAGCACCCTGAGTCGTAAACGTTAATCATCTAAGGCCAAATGAATGTGTGGAGTAAGTGTTGGAAGGTCGTTGCTGAGCCATTACACTCCTCTTCCTTTTTTTTTTTTTTGGAGTATTTCCCTTGGGAGAAAGGGGAAAGGCAGAATTATTGATTAAAGATTTACTGAAGGCCTTCACTATACAATTCGCTTAGAATGAGGAAAGTGATGGGTGGGTTAAGACTTTAATCTTTATTTTAACTTTCCTTTTGGAAATGGAGGGAAGAGGTTCTGCAGATGCCTCTCAAAAGTGGGTTCTTTTATTTCCAGTCTTACTCAGTGGGGACAGGAAAGGAATCAACCAGAATTTGGCTGGAAGTGTTAGAACGGATTTACTTTTGAATGTCTAATTTGCTGCCTTCATCACATGTGGAGGAAAGAAGAGAGTTTGGAGGAGAAAATCATTCGATGAGCCCTGCTTCCCTCTCTCAGGGCCCAGCCCCAAGGTTGCCCATTTTCAAACAGCCTGAAGGGAACATGGGGCATGGGGAAGGCCTGTCCGAGTGTGAGGGAGTTGGGACGGACCCATAAGTATCACAGAGGACAGAAGGACTATGTTCATTGCTCTGTGGCAGGCTCCACATATGTGGTCACATTTAGTCATTTAAAAAATGGAAGTTTCATCTCCATTTTACAGATTAAGGTAGCTGAGACTCAGGGGTTGAGAAGTTCGCCAAGGGTTTCCCACCCCCAAAATGGAGAAGTTGAGGCTGAAGCACATTTCTGTCCCCAAAGCTCATGTCTTTTCTGTCACATCTTCCATTCCCCAACCATCACTAGGTTTGCAGCAGGGCTGGGGTTGAGGGCAGGAGCAGTCAGGAACTGCTCTGTTCACATGGCAGCTGGGGAAAGGGCTCGGGGTTCCTCTTTCAGGTGCCTGGATACCTTTACTCTCACTGGCCCTAGTTATGTAAGTGTTATTCACAGCCAGCTCAGGTCACTGAACAGAAGACTCCTTGACCTCTGTCCGCATAGCCACCAATGTGTCTTACCCTCTTAGACGTGCTCTAGGACATCACTCCATTTCCGAGAGCACCTGTTGGCTGGTTTCTCTGGCACCTCCCGAGTCCTGTGTCTTGGTCAGAGCTGGGCTCTGTGGCTGCTTCCTAGAGGGGCAGAGCTATGGTCCTGGAAGAAACACGCTGGAAGAAAATCTTAGGACACAGTCGGCCCACAGTAGGTGAATACTTGTGAAACATCTGTTGCCTTCTGGAAACCCCCATGAACAGGAGTGGGTTTCCGTGTTCTCCTACTTTTGTACTTGGCAGTTTCCCCACGGTGTTTGTTTGAAAACAAATTCAGATTATATTACAGGTCACTTTTATACCAAGCCGCTGGTTAACACTAGGGACGTATTTGTGCTAAGGGAAAAAAAACCTGCTTTGAAGGTTGCCTCTTGGAGTAAATGTTCTTTTTCGATTCTAATTAAGTTAGTTCCTTAAACTTGCCATGTCAGAGGCTAAAAATTTAATTAGAGACTGCCAGATTACTTACTTTTCTCTTCCCAACCAGTCACTGGGCTACCATGAGTTCACTTTACTGTTCCAGCTTGTTAGATTATAAAACCATGGACTATTTTTCATCTCTTAATAGGGAGAGATAATGCGTGTGAAAAAACTTCGTATATGTTCCTACGGAAGGAGCTTCCTGTGCGACTGGCTAACACAATGAGAGAGGTTAATCTTCTGCCGGATAATTTGCTTAACCGCCCTTCGGTGAGATTGGTTCAGAGTTGGTAAGTAAATAATGTGGCTTCACATGGGTCTCCCCATAGTGCTCTGAACATTTGGCACTGGGACCATCCTCCCTAAAAGTACACATACTGCTTGTGTGAGAATGAGTCATTCAGGATAGCTGGGTTTCCCAGGCAATTAAAAGTTTTGTTTTGTTTTTTTTAACCGACAATGTGTAATTGTCCTAAGGAAAATACTTCTAAACTAAACTAGACATCTTCTTGACTTTGCACATTTTTTCTGGTTATAAATCTGATTTTTACTGAAAAAAAGGAAAGTACAGAAAGATGTAAAGGAATAGCACCATAGTGGCCCATGTGAGCAGGTCTACGATCCTTTGGGTAGGGGGATGTTGCTGCTTTGGCCCAGTCTCCACCGTGCTCCTTCTGTTTTCCTTTCAAAGAAGTTTCTTGACGACAATACTTATTTTAGGACAAAATCAGTCGTATAAAGGGGAACCTCCTGTATGAAAAATACCAGCTACCTGGTGTGCTTCAGCTGCCCTGTGAAAAGTCTGAAAAATCGTAACAGGGTGTAAGTAACTTCATTCAGGTGTAGTTGTGATGTGTAAAGCGTGTGCTGTCTAATTGAGGAAGTTGAATTTGTGACTGAACTACCCACTCGGTAAGCAGAGAGTGATGGGGGCGTGGTGGGGTGGAAGAGCAGGTGGTATATTTTTAGAAAAGGATTTGCATTGATTCGAGAGATGCTTGCACTACTCCACTATATCATACAAGCAAAGAAGTCATCCCCATGTTGCAAGCTGGAGGGGTTCAGGAGGCCAGATGCAAACAGTGCTCTCAAGCCAGTGCAGAGGAAGTGCCGTGGGAGCACAGGGGAGGGGGGCGTGCCAGCTGTGGTTTGCACTGCCCCTTGGTAGGGGGGGTGGTTGGAACTGACAGGGACAGGGAGAGCAGTTTAGGGGACGGGAATGATGTGGATAGATGTGGGGGGAATAAAACTATTCATTAGTTTGCGTTTAGAGGGTTCACGGAGACTGGGCTACTGAAAGAGAATGGACATTCACCAGTCATTCCTCAGTAATATTCGTTATAAGAAATTGTTAAGGAAAAAAAAAAGAAATTCTTAAGGTTGAGAATGAATCATCTGAGAAACACTCTGTTGGGTGGTCTTATCGATGACAGTGTCCAGTCCCTGTCCCAGACAAGCAGCAGCTCCTCACTGTGGCAGACAAAGGGGCCCCGGAAGCCAAGACCCCTCAGAGAGGTGGTGACCGTGGCTCCCATCTCAGAGTCAGTTGGATTTTACCCTAAGTTCATAGCTTGTTTCAGGGGGCAGCAAGTACTTATTTGCCTGAGACTTCTTTATTGCTCCAAGACCATGATTAGAGATTTTCCAGCAGAACGTGTGTAAGCACTCTCAGGGGCCAGCTACTGTACTGGGGATTCTAGGTAGGCTAAATGACTGTCAAGTCCCCTGGTCCTGGTGGTGGTGACAGTCAAACATTTACAGTTATCACTTATGTAAAAGGCACTTCAGGGGCTTCAAAGTGAATTGCTGGTAAAGTACAGACTCAAATGATTGAGTCAATTTTTTTTTTTTAAGTCTTCCTACTCTTCCCCTTCCATAGCCATTCTAAACACATGCATGTTATTTCTTCCTTTTTTAAACACTGAATTTTGAAATCATTTTCTATTTAACAGAAGGGTTTGCAAGACTAGCAAGAGTTTCCAAATACCTTCGCCCAGATTCACTAATTGTTAACATTTGGCAATATTTGTTTTATCATCTGCATCCATATTCTCTCTCTGTATATCTTTGTATGGTACACTATACCTATATATATGGTACACCACACATATATCTATATATATAAGATACATTATTTTTTTCTAAACCATTGGATTAATGGTAGGCACCATGCCCCTTTATGCCTGAATGTGTGCCTCCTTAGAACAACTCTTAGAAAATCACAGTATGATTGTCACATTTGGGAAATTTAACATTGATACAGTACTGTTGTCTAATGTATAGAACTTGCTCTCATTTCATTAATTGTCCTAATAGTGCTTTTCTTTTTAAGCAACCCCCCACCCCCGACTTAGGAATCCAGTTCAGGGATCATGCATTGTGTTTACTTGTCATTTCCTTTTCCTCTTGAAAGCGGATCTTAAGTATAATGGCTGAGAAGTGCACCTCGGTCAGAGCGCGATCTCCTAGCTTTCTTGACTTTCAGGCAAGGAAGCTCAGCATAACCTTTGATTCCTCTCCATTTATAACTTTGCTCTGTAAATGAACTGTCCCCTTCCAGAAGGATGGGATGCCTGCCTGAGGTTCTGCTGACATGTGTCAGGGCAGAGGGCATCACTGTGCATGGCTGACTGTGGCCTCTCAGGGTGGTTTGACCTAATGATCCTCACAATGTCTAATCCACAGCCTTATATGCTCAGAAACTTTAAAAAAATATACCCAGAGATGAATATACTTTAGTAGCATGTGTTGTCACAAAGTTCAGGGGAGGCTGATAAATATAACGTCATTCCTGTTTATGTATTTATAAGCTTAACAGTCATTTTTAGAGTGCCCTCATCCTCTATCCAAAGCGGGACGGTAAGATTAGTAGTAATTAATTTTTAGAAATAATAAGAATAAGGGGTACTTCTTTCAGGACATGTTAAGACCCAAAGCAGAGCTCGCACAGCTCTAAGTAATTGGAATCTCTGAGTCGCCACAAGACCCAGCAGGTTCTGTCTGGGTGTAGCTGCTCCTGTCAAGTGCTCCTCTGAGTCCCATTTTTCTTCTATTCTCCAGACCTTTATGTTGGTCACATTATTTCTTACACTGACCCTGAATGAGCTACGTCGGTATTCTTAATCCAGAAGCTGTTTCTGAGGCCCTAAGAGGCATTCTTTCTCTTTCATTACATGTTGATGAAATTCAGTGAACTCTGAGTAGGAACCTTCTTTATTTCTAGTTCTAAATTCTTAGCATTCACTTTAGGGCCACACACGTACTTCTTAAAAATTTATATGCCCCCTTTTTGGTAATCATACTATAGACTTGGTGCATCGGTTAGGATATGTTTGTTAGCAATCAGCAGAAAACCTGGCTTAAGCAATAAATTGTAACTAAGTAAATCTAGCCATAGGACAAGCTTTTGCTGTTGGTTTGATTCAGAGATTCACGAGATTATCAAGGCCCCACTTTCCATGGGTTTGGCTTCATTTTCAGGCTGGATGTTCTGGTGCCAAAATAGCTGCAGCAGTTCCAGGCTTTAAATCCACACACCCCACTGTATAAAAGCAGAGCAAGTTGATTTCTCTCCCAAAGACCACCAGCAAGTCTGCTCTCTTATTTTACTGGCCTGAATTGAGGCAGTTTTGTCCATTCCTGAGTCACATCCCTGTGTTCAGAGGAATACGATGCAGTGACAGGCTTAGAGCAGGACTGTTGAGCTATTAGGAACTAGTGACAAGAGAAATAGGATTACCTGGGGAAAAAAAACAGGCCTCCCAGGAGTTTTGCATGGTATCAGCTTCCCCTGAAGCACTTGGGCGACATGAGGGTGGAAGGGATTGGATGGATACCTGAGTGGAGACTAAAGGTGCTCTTAAGGAAGAGAGAAAGGAGGAGGGAGGGATGTTGGGTAGGCAACTAACACAATAACTCTTTTTTTCAGGTACATGCAGAGTTTTCTTGAACTTCTAGAATATGAAAATAAGAGCCCTGAGGATCCCCAGGTCTTGGATAAGTAAGTATGATACCAAACTTAGCTGAAAGTCAAAACAGCTAGGTTAAAAAATGTCTTGGTAAATGGAACTCACGCCATTCAGAACCAGGAAGTATAATTTAGATGAAAGCATTAGGTTCCTTAATGAGCAACAGCTCAACATTGCAGTTTTTTTAAAATTTGAGTTAAGGATTTAACATAGTGCCAAGGTAACGATGACACTTCAGATTATGATTTGTGATCTAATTCTTAGTACTCCTGTTCCTGGTGAACTGGTGCAAGGGAACTCACTATCAATATCGCAGTGACTGTTCCACCTAGTGGTGGTTTTAAGAATGCACTGGCCTCTACGTATACAGGAATTTATCTGCTTAGTCCTTTACAAGTTGTTTTTCAATTTTCAATGCGATATTACATTTGAGCTCAGATAAACTGTAACGCTTTTATTTTGGAACAGAATCAAAGGGGGTGCTATTAATATAACAGTTATTCTGAATTCCTTGGCTGCAGTCAGGCACGAAGACGGCTAAATTCTCATGCTGATGGAAGATATTTCTGGTTTTTCATTTTCGCTTAACTGGAAAACACTGACCCTAGCTCGGAGTGTGATTTCTTCTCCCCAAGAGAAATTAAGTAGCCCCTTCACATTACTTTCCTCCTCTTTCATGTACACATCAGCGAATGCTTTGGGCAGGCCTGTTGTGCAGAAGAATTTCTTCCTCGGTAGAAACCTGGCTCACATAATTGTGACACCAAACACTTTAGGTGAAAGTGTTCCAAAAAAGAACTAAGAAATACCACGTTATGTAAGCGACCTGAGCTCAAGACATTTAACCTGGCTCTCTCAATTCACAGATAAGGAAACTGAGGTCCAGGTTGTGAAGTGACTTCCCCCATATTGTAACAGTAGTTAAGAGCAGAGCTGGATCTGGAAATCATGTCTCCTCTCCCTGAGCACATTGTCGTTTACAGTGTGCCATGCTGCCAGACCTCTGGTTTGAGTCACAACTTGAGTTGTAAATTAAAATACAAAGAGGGGAGTAAGTGCTAGTCTGTTACACACTTTGCTGGGTGTTTTGTTAATGGAGCTACAAAATGTGGCAGGGGAGGCACTGGATTAGAGTCCCAGCTATAGTGTTTTCCTTGTTAGAAGCCCCTGCTGTCATTTAAGGTTATCAGAGTTAAATGAATCGAATCTCCAAAGCCATTAGCTAGTGACAGTTTGTTTGGCTGACATCCTCAAAATTAGGACTGGCCTCTCTAGCTTCAAATTAAGGGATATCGATTTGTGGAAGTCTCTGATATTAAATTTCTGTGGTGTGTTTCCCGGAGTCCTGTCTCAGTTTCTGGAACGGGTTATCAGTCAGATGCGACTTATGGACATGAGCCTGCTTCGAAAACTGCCAAGTGCTGGATCCAGGGTGTACACGATGGTGTTGATAATAGCTCTCGCTCAGTGAGTTTCAGTAGCTCACCCAGGCTCAGGAAGCTAGTTAGGCTACTTGGGGTTTTAGAAGCCTGGTGCTCGTGGGGAAGGAAGGAGCGAGGGGTTCTACTCATAGTAGCAGCCTTTTCTGTTCAGTGAGAGGTTTTAGAGTCACATGCAGGAAAGTCTTTTAAGTAAAGTGAAAGCAGCTTAGAGGACGAGGAAGTTTATCATAATGATAAAGTTTTTAAGAGCCCCAGAAGATCGGGGAAGTATTCTGAGAATTGAGCCATTGAGGCAAGTCTCCTCCCTTCACATAGAACTTGAGGCACTTCTCATCTGTAATAAATTGTTTCACTTTAGTGATATTTAATCTGCAAATACGTTGGGAAGAGCATTATGTGAAGGGCAAATGATCTGTTAGAAAATTTTTGTGAAACTTTATGGCCTTCTAATTACCCAGTTGATGTCTTCATCTTTGCTGTCTTTGTACATATGTATTTGTTACAGAAATATTTAATCATTGAGAAAAATAAGGCTATTCCGATAAGTCAAGTCACTCCAAATTTCCATTACCAGGGGACAACCAGTGTTAACATTTTCCTTCCATCCATACTTTCAACTAGCCGTACATATTTTTATATGTGGAGAATATATGATAGATCATTATTAGTAGTTTCATAATGGTCCATCTGCAGACAAGTCGTGATTTGACCTCCTTTGGGTTTTAGAATAGTTTGTAGTTTTCTTGCTGCTATAAACAGTGCTCTGAAGAACAGCCCTTAAATACAGCTGTTGGCCTTGTCCAGATATTTTCCTGGAATCAGTTCTTGGGAGTGGAGTGAGTTTCTCTGGGCTTTGATACATGCTGCTAAATTGCTCCTAGAAATGCATCAGTTATGCTCCCACGCTCTAGCTGACACTGGTTGTTCTTTGCCAGTCTCATAAGTGAAGGATAGTGTTGCATTGTTTAAATTTGCTTTTCTTTTATTATTTTCAAGGGGGCGTTTGTATCTCCTCTGGAAAATTTTCCACTGATACCAAGCCTCTTGCCTAGTTTTCTGTTAGTGTAGTCATCTTTTCCTTTACTATGGAAGTAACTCTTACGAATATATTTTCCCCAGTTTTCACTTCATTTTTTTAGTTTATAATGTGTGTCCCTGTAAAATTGCTAAAATCTTACATAATCCTATCATTTGGTTCTTCATGGTTTTTTTCTTTTTATCAAAGTATGCTCGGTTTACAATGTTGTGTTAATTTTGCTGTACGGCATTCTGATTCAGGTATACATACATATAGATATCCCTTTTCATATTCTTTTTCATTTTAGGCTTTTACGAGGTATTGACTATATAGTTCCCTGTGCTGTACAGTAGGACCTTGTTGTTTACCTAGTTTATATATGGTTTTTTTTGGTTTTTTTCTTTTTATCAAAGTATGCTCGGTTTACAATGTTGTGTTAATTTTGCTGTACGGCATTCTGATTCAGGTATACATACATATAGATATCCCTTTTCATATTCTTTTTCATTTTAGGCTTTTACGAGGTATTGACTATATAGTTCCCTGTGCTGTACAGTAGGACCTTGTTGTTTACCTAGTTTATATATAGTAGTGTGTATCTGCAGATCCCAAACTGCCTTTGGTATTAAGCGTAGGGCAGCCTTCCTTACTCCAAGGTAATATACTTACTCACCTGAGTTTCTTTTTTTTCTATGATTTTATCCTTGTACATTTAAATCTTTTGACCCATTTTGAGGCATAAAGCTTAAAATTGGAGTGTAACTTAAATTGTTAGCCAGCTGTCCCAACCAATTTGTTTCCCTACTGACTTACATTGTTACTTTATCAATATGCTAAATTTTTACACACACATACTCAGTCACCCTGGGGCCTGGTTCCAGGCTTTTTATTTGGTTGCATTAACTTGTCTTTCTGTTCTTAGTTACCATTCTCAATATATTTTTCCCTCTGTACCTTTACAGTGATATACTGGAAAACTTGAATAGGTTTGTCTTAATCACCTTTGTTCTATATACATTTCATCACTGTATTTTACTTTTGTGAGGAATTTATTTCAATATTTTACTCTTAAAAGTTTTGACATTATTTATTTATTCATGGAAGCTATTTCTCTGAGACTCCATAATAAATCCTGAAAGATTATTGGGATTATCTTCCTGTTGTCAGAAAAAATATTAATATGTTCTGCAATTATGTATTCTGTAAACATTTATAGAGTCTGTATTAAATGTAATCACTTATCCAAAAAGTCAATGGATTCCTTAAAAGGTATTCGAGCATGTTTTTCTTTACTACCTTCTGCTTTTTGTATCTCTGAAGGAAGAGTTTCTATAGGAAGTTTCAAGCAAAAACTTGGGTAATACTGTGGCTTCTCATAAATACTTACTTATAGCCTATAATGATAATGATGTCTCTGCCTATAAAAATACCAGTAGGTAAATAGTCCTGAAACAGAGCTGGGAAGTTTATGCATTAGCCCATGAGATACAGACTGACCATTTTTTTGTTTCCTTCCCACACAGCTTTCTACAAGTTCTGATTAAAGTCAGAAATAGACACAATGATGTGGTTCCTACAATGGCACAAGGAGTGATTGAATACAAGGAGAAGTTTGGGTTTGATCCGTTCATTAGCAGTAACATCCAGTATTTTCTGGATCGGTTTTATACCAACCGCATCTCTTTCCGCATGCTTATTAACCAGCACAGTAAGTTGGGTTTTCCTGGTCCAGTTTTGAAAAGATAACCAGAGTGATTTCTCCCAAATGTTTTCCTGTTACTTCACTTTCAATTTACTGACATGAATTTTTGTCTGCAGAAATTTCATTTCTAGTTCAGTTTTTCCCAAGTGAGCTCTATCTATTAATCAGCTAACCATTAGAATTCTTTGTTAAAAGAAACCCTTGAAAGGCTTTTTAGATGCTCATATTAGAGACAGGACCACTGCCTGCCTTTTAAGCCTCTGCCGTTACATTCCTGATGGGGACGAGGGAATGGCATTAGTGGCAGCCTGGTGTTCATCTCTGAATACGTTGAATGTCTCTGAGAGTCCTTTCTAGTATTTATCCGGAATGGTACATGTTTTCCTTTTTGGTTTTAAAAACATTGATACTAAGAATATTGAATTGTTATGTTGCCAATATGAGAAACTGATCTTTTATTTCACAGTAATTAGTGAAATCAGATTAATCGGGCTTGTCAAACCCTAATCTTGTGTTGAGACTTTTAGTCCACTCTCTGGGCTGATAAGCAGATAAGAAAAAATAACTACGGTTCTCTCCACAAAAACTTTTTGACTCATCTTCAGTGTGTCTCTTTGTCTGATTTAATAATTTTTATGAAAAAGCATCCAAGTGTCTAGAGTCTAATTCATCATCTTTGCCAAGTCAGAAAATGGACAGAGCATCTTTATTTTACTAATTTGGTTTATTTGGATAAACAAATGTTATGCAGCTATTAAATGTGGGTGTGTTCTAAATGTGTGTCTTTTAAAAATATGAATGTATGGCAATTTACAGTTATAGGAATAAAAAAAGAGCCCAAATACTATTTAACTAAACTACTTAGATAACTACAATTTCTTTTTGACCTAAATTTGTGTGTCTACATATAGGTGTGCATGTTTTTAGATCATTGATTAAGCTTACCCACCTCTTGTGTTTCTTCCACATAATCATTTGGCACTTTACATTTTGGCCTAATGCCCACATTTGCTCTGTCATAATTAAAATCTCCCCTACTTTATTTAAGCATTCTTCTTTTGTGGCATCTAAGTTATTCCCATTTTTTTAAATTAAAAATGGGTACACATATAAACATTTGAATAGGCACACATATAAACTTTTTTCTTTGGGGGCTCCGTTTGGCTTTTTTTCAGAAGTAAAATTTTATAAACCTTGCATATGATGAAAAAAGTTGAATGTACTTTTTAAAATGCTCACACAAATTTTGTTCATGTGTAGTACAGTGAAAAACCATCTCCACGTTGGAGGCATCTGCAGTGTTCGCAGTGAACACCCTTAGCAAGCCTAACTGTGCAGACTGCATTTTCTAAATATTTAGAGAATATTGGAACAAATGTCTGGAATCGTGCTGAGAAAGTGGGTAAACTTGGCTTAAGGATGAAAGGAAGTTTTTTTTCCATCCAAGTCACGTTGGGCCGAGGAGAGCGGGTTGGCTACCTGGCCCGTGTCACTGCTTTCGGACCTGCTTCCTGCACCTGGCAGGTCTCATGGGCACGTGCTTCCTCCTTCCTTGTCCGATAGTTGGTCACCCACCAGCTGGTTCTATTGCTTTAAGACACTGGGGATGCTAAAATGGTTTTCACAAAGAAGAGAATCTTTCCAAAACTACCAGCTCCATGTTTCTCTCCTTGACCATCCTAGCCTGCTGTTTTTTAATCCTCTCCCTTTTCTCTTGTGTTCCTTTAGCACTTCTGTTTGGTGGTGACACTAACCCTGCGCATCCTAAACATATCGGAAGTATTGATCCCACCTGCAATGTGGCTGATGTTGTGAAAGGTAAGGAGGCCAATGAAACGTCAGCGATTGTAGTTCAAATGGGATTGTGGTTTCACTGAGGCAGCTTGGCTCTAAAGTTATATCGTGGAACTGTTTGCTGATTGGTCAGGCCACTCTGGGCCCAAGTCACTTGATCCAAATATGTTCAGGAAAAGATGCATAATTAGTAATGTACAAAAAGGGAGTGTCTACTTCATTAACTAGGGTTTTTCTTGTAGTTCTCTCTGAACAGTAAACATTTGTTAGCCTAAGTAAGATTCTAAGTTTCGATGGCCACCACTGTCTGAAAATTTCAGAGAATGCAACCCTTTGTTATAAAATTCAGCTGAAGAGGGGAAGGATACAGCTCAGTGGTAGAGCAGCTGTTTAGTGCATGAGGTCCTGGACTCAACCTCTAAGAACCTCGATTAAAAAATAAATAAACATATAAATTTAATTAATTAAATGTAATTTACCCCCCCAAATCCATCAGTGTAAAATTCAGCTGAATTCGCATGTTTGTACAATGTATACATCTTTCTGACATGCACTCCAGGTTTTAGAATCTCTGTAGCATGTGGGCTTCCTGGGTTCACTGGACATGGATCTGGACACTGTTCCAGTAGCCTCAGGGTAGAACAGAGCCCTGGAGCCATATGTCCCTAGTACCCAGGCACTTGGAGTTTGAATAGCAGTTTCCTCATTGTTCGTTTAAGAGAAATGCTAGCTCCAGAAAGCCTTCCTGGTTGTAAGTGATCCACCAGGTTCCTGGACTGCTTCAGTTTTCTGCAGTATTATGGTGACTCTCTGCAGCTTCAGGACCCCAAGCTGTCCCCTTGCCTAGACAGTATCTCCTACCATGGCCCTCCTCTCCGTCCTTGAAACACACACCTTACCAGTTTTCAGGACCACAGGTCTCCCGATCTTCTTCAAGGATCTTTGTGGCTCTTACCTTTTCTGAACTGTGTAGCTAAGTGAATAGGAGGCAAAAGAGGGCCTTGTTTCCTTGGTAAAGCTCTCAAGCCTTTCTCAAGCAGAGTGATCTTTGCTGTTGGAGTTTAGGGGGCCAAGGGCAGGGGCCCAGCGTGTGCAGCCTCCCCAGTGGGGAAACAGACCAGATCTTCAGCCACTCAGGCTAAGGAAAACGGGTGCTATTTGGTTAACCTGGGCATCCCCCGGTGGTCTTAGCTCAGCCGAGGATTGTCAGGCTTCCCTGGCCTCTGCTTAGGTAGAAAACATTGACTCAAGTTATTTCAGTTATAAGTGAATAGGCTCAGCCCCAGCTCCCTAAGAACCCTGGTGGTTTCTCTCTCATAAGATAACCCTGTGGTTGATCATGACCTCTGCAGGCCCCCAGTGGGGAAGGGGAGCAGGATCGGTCTTATCATAGCTCGTATGTTCATTTGGCCCTCGCCCAATGGCTTTTGTGATTCCAAAAACCTGGTTCAGATAGTTGACTGCCCTTAGAAAAAAAGGCACAAATTCACAAAGCAAAAGTGCATTGCAGTATATTGCATGTGTGCCTTTTCTCTTCAACTGCAAGCAATTTGATGTCAGGGTTTGCGTCTTACACTTGTTTTGTGACTTGCATAGAACTTAGTATATGCTTGTGTAGATGGTCAATAAATATTCCTTGGCTTGATAAGTATTCTACCTTTTGATAATTTACTTTTTTAAAAAGCTTTATTGAGATACAAGTCACATACCGTGCATTTCACCCACTTAAAGTGTACAATTCCATGGTTTCTAGTATATTCACAGAGTTTTGCGACCATTACCAAGATCCAATTTTAGTACATTCTCATCACCCCAAAAAGAAAACCTCATACTCATTAGTGGTCACTCCCCACTACCCCTCTTCCCAGCCCACAGCAACCACTAATCTGCTTTCTGTCTTTATAGATATTCCAAGTCTGGAGATTTCATATAAATGAAATCATACAGTACATGGTCTTTTGTGATTGGTTTCTTTCACTTAGCATAATATTTTCAAGGGTCATCCATGTTGTAGCACAAATCAGTACTTCATTTCTTTTGATGGCCGAATAATACTCCATTGCATGGATAGATCACTTTTTGTTTATTTATTCATCAGCTGATGGACATATAGGTTAGCTCGATGATCTCGTACATGTTACATAAACTCTTTGGGCCTCAGTTTCCTCGTCAGTAAAATGGTGCTCTTGGAAATTCACCTATATCATAATGTTAAGTGAGTTAATATATGTAGAGCTCTGGAAGCAGCACCAGCACCCAGTAAGGGCTGTAGGTGGACAAGTCCGTGAACAGTAGCCCTTGGGCATCACATGAGTCGTTTGGCTTCTCATTTATACCATTGATTACATAATATGTTGGTACCTTTGCTTTTGTTTCTGGCATCGATTATAAAATATTTAAAAACATTGTTTATCGGGAGGGTACAGCTCAAGTGGTAGAGTGCATGCTTAGCATGCATGCGGTCCTGGGTTCAATCCCCAGTACCTTCTCTAAAAATAAACCTAATTACCTCCTCCTCAAAGATAAAATAATTAAATAGTACAATAATAAATAAAATATTTTTAAAACATCATTTAGGACATTTTTGAGACACTTGAATATTTGACATTCAAGAAATATTGTTCATTTTTTAGGTGTAATATTGATATTGTGGTTATGTTCTTTTAAAGGCGTCTTAGCTTCAAGTGAGGTATTTTGAAATATTACACGTGATATGAAATGGCATGTGGGTTTTGCTTCAGAGTTATCCAGAGGGAGGACAGTGAAAAAGATTGAGCATGTTGAGAACTGTTGAGGCTGGGGAGGTGTGCGCGAGGATTCTTACACTGTGCTGTGTGCTGCCGTCTCCGCCCGCCATTCTGCAGAATAAAGTTGTAAAAACAGTCCTTTTTATCATCTCACTGTTCCTTCACCAAAAATGTCTTTCCCTAAGTTTTAGAGAGATTTTAACCCTGAGTCAGTACCACCAGGTAAGTAATGGGGATTGGCAGGCAGTTGTCAGTGCTCCTGGAGAGCAGAGGGGTGAAGCAGCACGATAGCGAGTCAGATGATGAGGGGAACCGGCCGCAGCCCAACTCTGCAGGTGAGCAGAATCTGTCGTTTGCAGCACTGACTGTCAGGACTGCTCTTACTGACCTTACTACATCCTGCCTGGTCTTGGTGTTATTCCTGCTTCTGTGGGTCTCTCTACCTGGGGTGTAAATTCCTAAAGGGCTGAAATTACTCCCATCCACGCTTGCATCACTCCTCTCAGGGACAGAAGTTCTGGACCAGACACTAGCTGAAGATAATGTGCAAAGCAGTTGGATCAACATTAGAAAGAAAGAAACTACAAGTTTATGCCTGCAGTTTATGCCGACCTCATGGCCTCATGCTCTCTCTGGCCTTTGTAGTCACGGTTTTGACACTGGGCCAGATCCCCCTGTCCACTCCCTCTTCCTGTGCTCACTCGCAGCTGTATCTTCAGGCTCTCTCCTGCCCCTGTGAGACCGCTGTTTACTGTGAACCAAGTTGACTCCATCCTCTCATTTCATCATTTCTACAGCTTGTCTGGCACAGCCTGGATCCCTGGCGAAGCCATACCCAGTGAAAATCACTCACTGTGCCCCTCTGCCACTCGGAATGTCACTTCCCCCAACACACACACGGTGCGCACACTCCTACCTTCACGCTCATGGGGCAAGGAGGAAGGACCGCCATGCTCCTCGTTCTCCACTGTTTCTTTCAGACCATCTTTTTCACTTCTCAACAGCCTCTTAAGTAAAACAATTGTGGAGGGCGGTTTTAGATTCTGGAAGTTCATCAGCACGTAAAGCAACTTCCACACCATCGACTTTTCTGCCACCTTCATTCCCTTCACAAATCATGGATCCTGCCCACAGCACACTGAGGACACTTGGCTTGTACATACTTTCTTGAATGCTCTGATGCTTCTTCCACTTACTAAGGGTCACTCATTTGTCCTCAAACTGTTGGTGTAAGTTATCCCACAGGTATATGTATAAATATACATAATTTATACATATATGTTATATAAACTGAAGAAATAGGAGTACAAAAAGGAGACTTATTTCCATAAAAATCAAGTTTGAATGCTTTGGAAAGACTTGATAGAAGTCTCTTAAAAATATAATGAAATGACTGTGAACAAGATAACTATTAAGTGACAGGGCAGCACTGAGTAAAACTCTTAGAAGGAATCTGCACTCAGATGGCTTGACAAGTGTTTTTAAGTTTATTACCTTAAAGAAATAGGAATTGGAATTCACAGATGTATATGGTATTGTTTATCTAGGAAATATGACCTAGAACCCCAGGCCAATCCAAAGAAGAGGCTTTGGCCTTATTTGAAGATTGCTAGGGGAATAAATTGTATATTTAAAAGTGTATTTTAAGTTAATGTTACAAGTGTAGTCATATTTTATGGTTTCCCATTATCCAACTTTTTTGTCAATCATCCAATTCCTATTTCCGGTTTGGTCAGTTAAAAGTACTCATGCCATATTATCAAAGTAATCAAAAGTGCTCATTGAAGAAAATTTAGAAAATGTGGGAAAAGAGAGACAAGAATAAAAATCACTTGTTTTCATAACCCAGTGACATAACATTGTTTTACACATTTGAATTCATACCAACTTTACAGGTTGGTATGTGACTGTGAGTAATGTGAGTCTCTTTGTATGAAATCCATAGTGATTTGTCTATTTCCCCATCTCCAACACTAATGCCCATCATGCACCCCTTCCTGGCTGATCTGCTGTACTCCTCATCTCTATATGCAGTGGTTTTCCCGGCCAGGTGTAGATAACCTTTATTCCTCACTGGGGTATTGGTCTTAAATCGGTTACCTTTCCTACCATGGCAAAATTAGCTCAGCAACCTAACAGGAAACCCAAAGGGCTCTTTCCTCCCTGTGGACTAAAGCAAATTTTAATAGTCAACTTTCTGTTTCATTCCCTGTGGACCCACTCTCAATTCTTGGAGTGTCTGGATACCCAAGCAGAAGCTCTTTGGGGCTCAAAATA